TGACTCTTTCATTAAGTTGAACAGCTAATCGGAGTTCTCTCTTTCCCCGACGGCTCGATGCCGATTCAACATGTCGAATCGGGCGAAACAAAGCCAACGAGGACCAATTTCCGCCGACGGCACGGAACCGCGCGGAACACACCGGGGAAACTTGGTCGGCCAACGCACAAAAACTGCCTGACCGTTGGCTTGGTGTGTTCTGGGCTAAAACTAAGTAGCCTATATTATTGAGGCTGCCATTCTGACTAACATCTTTTGTGTTTTACAGAATAAAGTAAGCCAAATGGGTTTTGAATGACATTTAGGTCAAATTATTTCGTTTTTTTTTTTGTGAACTATTCAACGTACAAACTAATATTTTGCATTATGCTTAAATCGTAATCTTGAAGGCCTCTTGAAGACTTCTGACCCTCAAAAAGATCAGGTTATGTTTAAGTTATCGTTTGAAACACATAATCTTGTGGAGCGTTGTGGTTTGGACAAATACATTCCATTTTCCATGATGATGTATTAGTAATTATGAAGAACCAGCTTGAGGACATCAGTAAGCAGATATCACAGCCGAACAATACCACTTGTATACGAGTTTATGTGTGAGTGGGTGTGCTTGTGCATGCTTTAAACTTTACATAACCTGCAGGGTGGGGGTGTTTGGAGCTATTGAGAAGTTTTCTTCTCTAGTGATTACTCCAGCCGACTGATGCAATTTATTGTTGTGCATATCAAGCTGTTTACCCTGCAGAGCATCTGTTCCCTCTAATTAGGGGGAGAGTTGTACTGCTCCGCCGTCCTCCTCAGACATGATCATGGGCGCTGGTGGTAACATCACCCTGTACTGTGACTCAGGTCTCCATGGTGTGAATACTGGCTATAAATGGGATAGCTCAGGGCTCCAGAATAACATTTGAGAGCAGCAGCACTGGTGCTACTAAGTTCTACAGATGGGGGGGTATTATTAATATAAAGGTAATTTAATCATGGAAGTATTTTTTTTTTACATTAAGTAAGTAATAATATTACATGTTTATTTCTTAGAAAGGCACATTTGACAGCAAAGCACTGAACTTGAGTTGAGATGCTGATAAAATAAACTTTTTTTGTAAAAAGTTAACAATGTGGCGGAGGTGGTATCCTGAAGAAAACACTTTACAAGCATGTAGGCCTATTTTAGGTCCTTTTAATATTAAGATAATTCTATTTTTACATTGAGAACACCATTGCATACTGTGTTTCCCACTGGAGTTTATGAGAACAGTGGGTGGTCCTCTTTCACCAACATTTTTGACATTTTTAAGGTAAATTCTAGAGATGCACCGATTACAATTTTCTAGGCCGATTCCGATTTTTCTTTGAGTGTGATCTGCCGATACCGATTTTAGCCATTTAAATTTTTTTCGAACCACTTTTTATTTTCAATTACACAAATATTAAATGTTATATTTAATAAAAATATTAGTTTAAATGAGTACATTTTCTATAAAGAGTCTTCATTTTCTTTTCTGACATAGCCTACTCCAATTCTTGTTAAAACACACTAGACGTGCAAATTCTTTGCATTTTTGGCACTTTTTTGTGTGAAATTATATTTATTTTGTCCATCAAACGTTTGCTTTCACTTTTATTGAGTGTGAGCAGCGCAGCAACAATAGACTCTGCGCCGAAACCGCTTCACTGCTGCTCACGCGATGCTCCTGCTTGATGCTCACAAGGTTTTGTTCCGCACTTTTAATTTCTGTTAAAATTAAAACATGGATTATTCCTTTAATACAAATAAATTATGATTTTTTTAAACAAAACTGAATTTGTGTTAGTGTATTATTACATTAGGACATATCTAAATTCTATTGTACAACAGTAATATATTTCTGTCAAGTTAAACCGAACTTTTATTTTGACGGGTTGCCGCAAGACCTTTTGAGTTTGTGTGTTTATGTCATGATGATAATCTCTCAAATGAAGCGGTTAAAGGGCACAAATTATGCCCCTTTTTACAAGACGTAATATTGGTCTTGGGTGTCCCCAGAATGTATTTGTGAAGTTTCAGCACAAAATACGCCACAGTTAATTTATTATAACCATTTGAAAATGTCATTTTTGGGGCCTGTTTTAAAATGAGCTGTTTTGGTGTGTGTACGACCTTAAATGCAAATGAGCTGCATATCCCTGCCCTGCTTTTGGAGGGCGTCACTTGCATACCTATGGCATTCGGTAAGCAGAAGGGCTAAGAGAGTGAGAGACCCGCTGTTTTCTATGTCATCCAGCCGTACATGTTTAAATCGGAATAAATAGTCTGATCAGATCAAACCCAGATGACGAAGAGACTCCGGCAGAATAAACACAAATGAGAATGGACCAGGACGTCTGGGTATGGTTATTTGATATTTATAGAGTAATCACGTCCCCTTTGAAATTATGGATGTGCAACACTGACGCACACAAACACTAACGTTGGCGCAATTTTTGAAACTACATACACATACTGTGATAAAGTTTGCTACGTACAAGCGAAATTACATTTATGCGAGGGACCTGTTGCGTCATGTTTACTTGTCATACAGGTGCTTC